TTCTGGCAGGACAGGGGAGTCTCATGCCAGGGAGTATTTACAGAGCCCACAGACTGCCCTGCCAACCCTTGACTTCAACCTCAGACCTCCCCAGGGATCTGAGAAGTAGATTACTCACTAATTTTTGTGCCTTCCTTAGCAGAAGAAGAGCAAGAAGGAAAGGATATTGGAGAAGCAGAAGGCAGAGAAAGAGCTGTCCCGTATTGAGGAGGCGCTGATGGATCCTGGGCGACAGCCAGAGTCAGCAGATGATTTTGACCGACTCTTGCTGAGCTCCCCCAATAGCTCCATCCTGTGGCTGCAGTACATGGCCTTCCATCTGCAGGCCACGGAGATCGAGAAGGCCCGGGCCGTGGCTGAAAGGGCTCTCAAGACCATTTCCTTCAGGTCTTGGCCTTGTCCCCCTGCTTTGGTGGGGGGTGTCTCTTGACAGGAAGGGCTGTGTCTCCCCAGGCCGCAGGGCTTGCTGCCCGTGGGTCCTTTCCTCTTCAGCTGGCCAACAGTTTGGGTGGCCGCCACCCACACCTGTAGGTTCCCAGGCTTTGTCTCATAGCTGCGCTGTCTGTGAAACAGATCTGCTCATTTATATTTTATAGTCCCCTTCACTGAAGTGGCTAAGGGTAACATTTACAAGAGTCTCTCTACACTGAAATAAGGTGCCCAACTTGGAGCAGAAGTAGATTGGGGAAAATAACTCCATGTACCTGAGTACAGACACTCTCTACCCATTTCTAGGCACAGGGTAGAGTGAGTTTTCTGACAGCTAAGAGGAGGGATGGTGGTCATTTGCTTTGTTCTCTTAGTTTGGAGAGAGAGATTCTTCTCCTTCCTGCCCAGACATCGGGCCAGTTTAAGATTTAGTGGGCTTCCTTTCTAGGAATGGAGGTAGACAACAGGGGACCTCCCACAGTCAGGGGCTGGTGTTCTGCTTCTGCATAAGCTTGCAGTGGGGACTGGGCTTCTCGGTTCTCACTTGGGGCTGGAAACTGAGGATGTGGATAGAGCCTGGGAAGGAAGAAATAGTTCCAGTTAGCATCTTTGGGCGGTAGTGGGGGCTTTCTTGGGCTGAGGTGATGGAGCTCACATGCTGCCTCTCTCTCCAGAGAGGAGCAGGAGAAGCTGAACGTATGGGTGGCACTGCTGAATCTAGAGAACATGTATGGCTCTCCAGAGTCACTGACCAAGGTCTTTGAGCGGGCCGTGCAGTACAATGAGCCTCTCAAGGTCTTTCTCCATCTGGCCGACATCTACACCAAGTCACAGAAATTCCAGGTAGGAGTCTGGGCCAGCTGGCCTGTTGCCAGAGGGTCCTCAGCTGCTCAGAAACTAACTCCTGGGAGTCACAGAGGCAGCAGGGAAGTCACAGAGTTGAATCCCCACTTTATGGATCCAACCCTTCCATGCAGGCTTGCTCCGTGACATTGGACCCTAATTTGTTTGTCTTCTAAGTGGGTGGAGTAATTTCCTCCCCCCTCTGCTTTAGGGCTGCAGCAGGCAGAGGAGGGAAGTGAAGGGACAGCTAATCCCTGGTGTATATCCCTTGGGCTTACAGTCAGGAGACAGCAGCTTGGCCGAGTGTCCCTTTCCTGTCTCTCCTGTGCCCCCATGTTGTTCTCTCCTTCTCTCTTCTCCTCTTAGGACTTTCATGCAGCACAGGATTAGTAGGGAGAGTCCCCACCATGTAAGGCTCCCTCACATGCTCTCCTTACCTCTGTGAGCCTCTCTGCTTCCCTCAGGCATCTAGAATTGGGCCTGTACAGTGACAGGAGTGTGAGGCCACGTCTAGCCTCTCACAAGCATAGCTGCTGCCTGTCTCTGTCATTGCCTCATCTGTCATATCACACTCCATAGCTTACCTTTTCTTCCTATAGGAAGCTGGTGAGCTTTACAACCGGATGCTGAAGCGATTTAGGCAAGAGAAGTCTGTCTGGATCAAATATGGTGCCTTTCTTCTGCGGCGGGGCCAGGCTGGGGCCAGTCACCGTGTGATGCAGCGAGCCCTTGAGTGTCTGCCCAATAAAGAGCGTGAGTGCTCATCCCTACCTTCAGCCCAATTCTGGATCACATTAGGCTCTTTGATATCTGGGCGTAGGGATCGGGGGTTTTCTCTGAGAATGGGAAAGCCTAGTGGAGGGCACGTAACTATTTTTCTATTGATCACGTGCCCGTGTGTTGCATTTCAGATGCTAAGCTTCAAAGCTGAAGGAACAAAAAACAATTAGTGCTAATTTTGTAGCCTCTGCTCCCTCTTCCCTCTGGGCCCAGAGAGACTCTCCAGTGGGAGTCATAGATCAGTACCCGTCTGTGTATTTGGCCCTAAACTGCCCCACTGTCCCAGTTGTCATCACCCAGGGCTTAGAACCCATGAGCAGGGAGTCAGGAGGCAGACTGTCTGACACATAGCACCTTGAGCTGTGGTGAGGGTCTTTCTGCTTTGTGTATCTGAGCTGTCCTCTCCCTGCAGATGTGGATGTGATTTCCAAGTTTGCCCAGCTGGAGTTCCAGCTAGGGGATGCGGAACGGGCCAAAGCCATTTTCGAGAATACACTGAGCACCTACCCAAAGCGCACTGATGTCTGGTCGGTTTACATCGACATGACCATTAAGCATGGCAGCCAGAAGGAAGTCCGGTGAGAGGGGAAGGGATTGGGGCTGAATTAACTGCAGGGGATGGGGGATGTTGGCCAAGTGGATGAGTTTTAGCCCCACAGCCAGCCTCCGGCATCCCTGTTCTCTTACTCTCTCTGGAAGATCAGCTTTGACATGACATAGCAGGTCCTGTGGCATTCACTTTGCAACCTCTTTTCTGTGTCTGGAACCTGGGGTGGGCAGTAGGCTGGTCCTGGAGTGGGAGTCAGGAGACTTGGGGTTTTCTGCGTAATTTGTTGCACCTGCCTCTGGTGATAGGGAATGGTCATGGACTTGCTGTTGTCGCCTGTGTCTGCACGAGGCAGGGAGGAGTAGAGATGGGTGGACTGAGGTCCAGAAAAAACTAGGGCCTTGCCCAAGCCTGTGGGTGTTTGTCTGATCTGGAAAGTGAGGGTGGCAGTCTATCTCCCCATGGACACCTTAGGACTTTAAAATGGTAATAAACATGAAGATAGACGTGAGAGTACTGGAAAACAGACTCCAGGGCCAGAGAGCCAGGGGATGAAGGCTAGTCAGCAATCGAGTGGCGGGGGGCCAACAGACAAATGCTGCCTTGCTCTTCCTCGCAGGGACATCTTTGAGCGGGTCATTCATCTCAGCCTGGCTCCCAAGCGAATGAAATTCTTCTTCAAGCGCTATTTGGACTATGAGAAACAACACGGCACTGAGAAGGACGTGCAGGCCGTGAAGGCGAAGGCCCTGGAATACGTGGAAGCTAAGAGCTCCGGGTTGGAGGACTAGTGGCCAGCGGGCCTCAGACCACTGGCGGCTGTGGGCCAGCATGGCCGAATCTCAGGAGCGTGGGCAGCTGAAAAGCTGTGTTGTCTGAGGACTCTTATTTAAGTGTTGCTTTTTCTGCAGCACCTTTTAGGATAATCCTGTCAGGATGGAAAAGAATTTGAGCTTTTTTAGACTTCCTTTTTGCTTGTTTTATTCTAAGTACTAGTTTACTTCACTGTTACCCTTTTCTGAGGCTGCTCACTGTTGTAGGTAGCAGACTTGTGGACCCCTAGAAAAGCTGAGGCTCTCTCCCTCCTGGGAGTTTACTGCAGACAGGAATGGAGGGGCTGACTCCTGGCAACCTGGTGGGCAGGATCTCACTTTGGCTCCAGCAGGCGCTCGGTCCATCTAGAGGGGGTCAGCATGGTCCAGGGAGTGGGCCTCCTCCCCTGGGCTGAGTCCCTCAGTCTGCGCGCAGCTAGCACTTGTGCCCCTGTGTGGACCCTGTGAGGCTGGACGGGAGGATGAAGGCAGACCCCAGAAGGGACAGTTGCAGACCCTGGGCACCTCAGAGGAAAGCTGCAGGTATTGATAGGAACCACCTGGTGAGGTTACATCCCCGGCCCGCCAGGCCCAGATTATCCAGATTCTCCCAAGTTAGGTGCCTCATTTGTGCAATGGGGTTAAAAAAGTCTTACTTGGAATGGTTGTTTTGTGGATTAAATGAGAGGGGGTATGTTTGTGTGTTGCCACAGGACCAGGTAGGTAGGAGGCTCGGTGAAGACCTAGGTTGCTGTGCTGTGTGAGTTGCGGAGACCTGCACAGTTTTTCTATGTCCCTGTAGCCCCTCTGTGGAGAGGTTACTGGATGGAGGGCATTGATTGGCTGGATGATTTTCCTTGAGACCCAAGGGAAAGGGGACATGTTGAGTCCACCACGCCCATGCCTCCCTGGGACCCTTGTAAATTTCCCAGAAAGATGGCCTCCACCTCCTTTGGTAAGTAAGAATCCTGTATGTTCCAGAATTCTTGGAGGCCAGCACAGACCCAGTTGGTTGTTGAGGCCAGTTCTTTTTTGGCTGGTCTTAAGGGGATTAAACATTTTCTTTGGCAGGGCTTTAAATGTCCTGAGAACTGGAGAGCTTTCCTATGGGAAGTGACTGGGCTGGATGCTGGGAATTAGGACAGGGACAGGGAGAGCATCAAAGGTTTTAGAGTTGGTGGAAGTGATCAGGCAAGGGTGGGCATGTATGGGTAGTGGGGAGAGGTCAAGTTGGGGCTATCCTGGCTTTTGGTCATCAGCACTAAGTTATAGGGACTAGTCTGCTCTACTGAGTGCAGGATCTTTTGACTCATGAAATTTAAGCTGATCTTCCATCTGGGAAAGGCCAGGCTTCACCTGTTCCCCAGATCAAATCAGATAATTGAATCTAATTATCAAGACCTCATCAGCCATAGGGCCTTCCCACATGTGGGAATTTGGCTTTCCCTGCACCCCCTGCCCTCCCTTCCATCCATTTTAATCTTGTTCAGAGTCCCGCTAGCCCCCCTTGCTCCCAAGGGCCTGTCTCCATGACCACCAGCCTGCTGTGGCATAGGCCATCCAACAATGCAGACACCAAGCTACTCCTTTATACTAGGAAAAACTTTTATCAAAAATGTAAGTCTATAAAATAAAGCCAGAGGCTCACATAGGAGGGCAGCTTCCTGCTGAGCACTGCTGAGCCAGGCGTCATATGCAGTCACACAGACGTTAACTGCAGGATACCCCGTACGGGGATATCACTGTCACCCAGCTCTGCTGGCCGTAGCTTCCCAGCCTTGGAGTCCCACCGGTAAATAGTTGTCCATATCATAGTTAATTAAGGACCAGTTCTGGGAAATGGTCTCTTCTCCAAAGCTGTTGACCAAGTGTTTGGTGGAAGCAGGAGAGGGGGTTTCTTCAGGTCTGAGAGCCTTCCTGTCGGAGCGGACCACATTGTCTACTAGCTCTCTCCACACCCCAGGTTACTCTGTGTTCCTTGCTTCTGACCTGTTTCCCCAAAAAGTTAAAAAAAAAAACCAGACCAACCATTCCCTTCTGATGCTGACGTGAGCAGGCAGCGGAGTTCAGCTTGAGACCAAGTACTGTCACTTGCAAAGAATGTGGGAACAGGGCCCTCAGGAGGGAAGCAGGGCCATCTCCACGCCTTCTGGTGCCGTGCCGTTGCCTGCCAGGCCCTGGGCCCACTTGTGCAGGCGGCTATAGAGCGGGAGGCCCTGGTTCTCGCGGTACAGATAGACGCCGGTGATGGCGTTCCACTGTGGCCGAGGCTGGGTGCCTTCCACGGGGAACCTGGCCACCAGCTCCTCGTCATCCTTGTCGAGTGCCACAAAGCCGAAGAAGCGGCGCACGTTGTTGGCAGCCAGCACCCGTGAGTGTACCTCGGCCGTGCGCTGGAAGAGCTGGTCCTCGTTGGCGCGGTACTGCGCCCAGTAGGCCTCCTGGCGGTAACTGAGTGGTGAGCAGTAATGCTTGAGGCACTTGGTCAGGAACACCAGGATGGCCACCATGCCAATAAGCAGCCACCCGAAGAGCTGGCCAGAGAAGGGGCAGGGTTGAAGAGGGGCAAGGAGCTGCCTAGACCCTCACCACCCCAGGAAGAAGGGGGAGGAGCTGGTCAGAGGGTTCAGGCTGGGCTGAACTTAGCCACACCCCCTGAGAGCAGATTCTACTTCTAGAAGGGAAACCAGCCCTAATGGCTGTGATTCCACTTCTTGGTCCTCACTCCCTTGAACTCACTTTGTTTGTTTGTTTGTTTGTTTGTTTAGAAAATCCTGTGCTCCTTCCTGTCTCCCTCATCTCCTGCTACTATAAGTTAATATTCCCAGCAGTGTTTTCTGCCCAGGTCTCTGCCCTTGTCCTCTCTCCTGGCTGACCTCTGCTCCTTCAGAATTGAGCCACAGCTAAGGTGAGGATCACGGCAGCAGCCACTGCTTCCTGACTGAACACGCTTCCTCCCTTGGGGGACTCCCCTGTGTCAGCAACACTTGACAGCTGACTTCCTGCTGGGCCAGGGTCCTTCCTGGAGTAGGAACATGTCAACTCCTAGCCAACAGCAACTGTTTCATAAGCTTGCAGGGATTCGTGCTCAATCTGGGCGAAGCAGAGGTTTAATCTGTGACCGGGATCAAGGCTTAGTCTAAGCCAGAACATTCTTTTAATGTTTAAAACTTGCCGTACCAAGTCCTAACTCATAGGTTACCCAGCTCAGACACCTGATGCTGACAACCTAGTGCTTTCCTGGGGACCTCTCCCTCAACTCTACCTATAACATTGGGCCATCCCAGCACCTCCCCACCAGCCGTTGCCTCAAGAAGAAAGAAGAGCAACTTTCCTTGCACAGCCTTACCTGGGACTCGTACTTGAGCCTGCGGGTGACTTCCTCCCGGAAGCCTGACAGGTTGGCAGGGCCCTCCCCACAAGGGAACCTGGCCAGGATTTCTGTGGCATGGTCTGGTGGGAAGCCCTTTTCCCCGGCTGTGAGTGAGGAGGGGTCCACAAACTCGCTGAGAGCACAGACGTAGGCCTCACCGCGCAGCAGGGAGATGACAGACCAGGTCACAGGGGCCACGGCCGCACGGCCCAGGATGGAGCTTAAGAGGAGGAAGTTGGGGGCAGCCGAGCAGTTCTTGGTCCTCCGGTACTGGCATTCGGTAACTAGGTTCCAGGTGTGGTTGTTGAGGATGACACCGATGAGGAAGAGTGCCAGGGCAGGCACACCGATTGCTGTCAGCCCATACAGGTAGTTCCGGGCAGGTGAGCAAGGGCAATGGAAAGCCACCACAGAGAACAGCTCCTGGCTACCCACTGTGCCCAGTGCCACCAGCCCGTTGAAAATCATCACATCCTTGCTCTTGAAGAAGAGTGATAGGAAGCGGAAGTTCTCTGCAATCAGGGCCGCCATAGTGATGGGTCGGCTGGGGGACCAACTGCAAGGGGCAGAGCAGGCGGAGACTGAGGTCGATGGTTCCTGGTGAGCCTAGGAAGGGGTGCAGGCTGGTAGGCATCTGAAGGCAGGGCGAGGTCTTGCCATTGTATCCCCTGTAGTGGCTGGCCGGGTGTTCCCTGTGGAACAGTAAGGACTGTTTCAGTTTGCCTTTGAAAACTCTGAAAGGGATTGAGGGAATCTTGTGTGGTCAGGCTGGTGAGAAGGGAAGATTTGGGGAGCCCTGGGGCATAGGGGACATGGTGGCAGCCACTGCTTGCTGAGCTCCTGCCAAGTGTCAGGCGCTTTCCATCCTTCATTGCCAATGGTCACGATCGCACTGTGTTGTCAGGCCCCCAATGTATATAGAGAGGGTGGAGGCTTCCTGAGGGTGAGAGGCTTGCCAAGGTCACAGGTAAGTAAGTGGCAGAGGTGAGATTCACGCTTAGGTCTGTCTGCCACAGGTACTCAGGTTCTTGTTCCCCAAGCCTTCCTTGAAGGAGGAATTAAAGAGTGGCCTTGTGGCCCTGGGCAATGTGCTGATGTGCTAAGGGACCTAGGACTATTTGGGGGGGTTTTGTCCTCAAAGCCTGTAGCCCACGGGTATAACTTCTGCAGTGGGTGTCCTGGTGAGTAAGGGACTTGGGCTTGACTCAGTGGTGTGGGGTGGGGAAGAGGGAGGGGACTCGGTCAGTGGTGAGCCTGGCACAGTGTCCCTGGAATTCATGAGAGCTTTTCATTTTGGAGACCCCAGCGTCTGGACTGGTTTAGGAGATCTGGCTTTCAATGTACTTCATGACTTTTCTTTGGGTCTCAGTGTCTTCTGTGAAAAGAGGACAAATTATTCTGGCCCTTGCTCTCTCCTTAGGGGTGCTGAAGGGAAAAGAAAGGGGAAAAATGATGCCTAATAATTGTTCTGTGTCAGAAACCCCCACCTAACCCTGTCAAGTCTTTAGGGTGGCCCCCAGAGGTGAGGCAGCTGGTACAGTTCTTCTTGCAAAGACCAGGAAACTGAGGCCAAAAGAGGAGAAACTGCCTTGCTCGAGGCCATTCAAGTATGGAAGTGCCTGGGCAGGACTTATGAGCCTGATGTAAGGAGGCTTGGGAAGTGGACAAGGGTGGGTCCAGCTAAGTCAGTCCTCTGTTTTCTTGGTCTCCTGACCTTGCTCTGTTCTCCTCGATTAGAACCCTGGCGAACCTTCCATTCCCCACGCGTTACCCCTCTCTAGCAGCCTCCCAGGGGACTGCCCAGCCTGCCAGTGACAGGAGGCCTTGATGGAGGCTAAGGCTCGACCATCCCCACCAGCCCACACCCGGCCCACTCTGCCATGTGGTACTGGCAGCCTGCCAGGAAGTGGCTGCAGCTCCAGCCATGTCCTGACTCCCTTCCTAGGCTCCACCCACACAAGCAGACAGGCCAGGGTGTGGCCCCATGTGCTCCCCATCTAGGGGGATGAAAAACAAAAAGCCCGCAGCCAGAAGCCCGGGAGTGGAGGGATGGTGTGGGCAGCAAGCAAAGCGGGGAGACCTGCCCGTGTTTCCTTCTCTACATCCTCTGTACACCGCCACCCCTCCCGCTCTCTGCCAAGGTTGCCAGATGGGTCCCGGCAGAGCTTGGTGACCACGTGGGGAGCCAGGAGCAGGAGGAGGGATCTGACTCTCCCTCCCACTCCACCCAGGGCCTCCAGTCCCACTCTTTGGGAAAAAGTTTGTACAGTGTTGCCAAGGATGAGTGGGTTAAAGCCAGGCTCCCTCTTCCTCTTCGCCTCTTGGCTTCAAGGCTTCTAATGAGCTTTCGTGGGGCCCCTGGGTTCATAAACTGTCCAAAGTGGGGTACAGGATACCTGAATCCTTGGGGTAGTGAACAGAGGAGAGAACAGGCCATCGGCTGAGACTACAGGCCCTGTCCCGCAGGCCAGGGAGGGGTCACATCTAGGCCTGGGTGGGACCTCCAACCACAGCAGTTGGGACAAAAAAATGGGTCAGGCTGGGAGAGGGGCCTAACTGGCTGGGCCCAGAGTGAGGAGCCTCAGGGAGGGGCCTTTCTCCCCAGGACAATCTCTCTGGGTAGCCTTGAGCAGTCTGGCCATCCTCCCCATCCTCCCCGTCACCTGGTACACCCCAGGGAGGGGCCCTTCCTCTTACCTGGGGCCAGCTGTGGGCAACAACCAGTGGCTTCAGCCCCCGGCGGGGCGTGGGCCTGCAGGGCAGCCCCCTCCGCAAGTGCTGCCGGCAGTGCCCTCCCCGGGCTGCCTTGTGCTTTCTTCTGCACCGGGAGCAGGGAGCTGGAGGCCAGCAGGGCCGGGGCCTGGCGCTGTTTTCTAAGAAGTTTTAACTCCAGAAAGAGAAGGAAACAGCAGGATGGAGCAGTAGCACCAAGTGGAAAAACAGCCTCCCTCAGGCGCCAGGCAGGGGCGGGCGGATGGTGAGGGCGGTGCAAGAGGAGAGGAAGTTGGGCTGCCTGTTTAGGCGCCTGGCCCGTGCCGGCCTTCCCGGGCCAGCTGCGCACCAGGGGGCTGGCTCAGGGGCCAGGCAGGGGGCGCTTCCGGGAGACCCTGCCTGGGCCTGCCTGCGCGGCCGGTGTCAGGAGCACGCCTCGTGCTTGACCCCCACCGGACAGAAGCTGGCACGGAGGCCCCAGCAGGGTTGGAGGGGAGGTGCCACCAGACTGCTGCTGACCCCTGGCAGGATGCACAGGCCACGGCCTCCCTACCTCATTCTGGCTCCTCTCCCTCGGAGAGCCGCCCTGCCCCTGTCGGTCCTCCTCCCCACTACTGGCTCTTCTGTCCATACTTGAGCTAACTCCCCAGGTACTGCTTCACATCTCAGAAGGGCTGGCAAAGGGATTCTCTGAGGCCCTGTGGGCAGACCGCTGAGTGGTGGGTAGAATTTACAAGAAGGCAGGTTGCTGAAAGAACCCCTTTGTAACCATCAGAGCTGCCCAGCCTGTCCCAGAAAGTGGTCATGAGCTCCCTATCTGTAGGAGGGTGCAAGCTGAGGCTGGTAAGTTATGGGCCAAGAATGCTAAAGGAGAGTGCCCTGTCCAAGGACAGGCTAGATGAGCACTATGATTAAGGGAGAGACTCTCTTCTCTTCCCCCCCCCGCCCCTGCCCCCCCATCATCTCTGCAGTGTTTGTGGTTCTATGACCGTGAGACCACTGAGTGCCATGCTAGCCTCCCTGGGCTGTGCTTGTCCCTGCACAGAAATGAATGGAACAGACCAGTGGTTATTATTCAGATCCTACCATGTACCAAATACCATTCCAGATTCTTCCTCAAAAATTGTCCTCCTATATTCTCACCATAATTCTGAAAAACAGGTCTTTTAAAGATCTATTTTTCAGATAGACACACTGAGGTCTGGAGGGATTTGGTGAGGTCCTTACAGCTCTAGTTCTTGAACCCTGATCTGCCTGACCCAAAACTTTGCTCTTTCCTTGGCATTTGTACCTCCTGATACGCTGGGCATGTCCTCCTCCCAAATAATGAAAGGAGCTCAGGCTGAGTCTTAGATGTGGGAATGGAGGGAAGACTAATTGGGAAAGAGGGAAATTATTAAAGCAGTGTTGTAGGGATCAAGATCAAAATGAATTCCTAGATGAGCGGGACTTCTATCTTCTGGGCCCTCAATTCCCTCCTTGACATGCTGGCTCCAGTTCCTTAGGTCACCCTCCCACTTCTGTCCAGAGGAGGAGAAGCTCTCAGGTTCCGAAATCTACAAACACATTAGCCACTGGGTACTGAGTACCTATTTTGTCTTTTACACACTCACATGTTTCATGATTATAACAACCCCATCAGGTTTCCACTCCAGGCAGCTCCCCTTCCACTCCTCCATCTTCATCTCTACCTCAGGGCAGAGCCTTTTAGCACTCTAGAGCCCCCTTCCCAGGGAGTAGGGTTTTTCAGAAAATGGGAAAACATCAGCTTCTTTTCTAAATGCCTGAGCTCTGGGGAGGTCTAATTTTTCTGGATGTAAAGGGAGGTTTTCAGGTGGTCTCCAAGGACCCCTCCAAGGGAGGATGGTGTGGTCTGAATGTGTCCCCTCCATTCATGTGCTCAGTCTTAACCCCCCAGGGTGATGGTACTAGGGGGTGGGGCCTCTGGGAGGTGCTTAGGTCATGAGGGCAGAGCCTCATGAATGGGATCAGTGCCTTGACGAGAGGCTCCAGAGAGTTCCCTTGAGAAGGTGCTGGCTTTGAACAAAGAAGATGGCCTCCATCAGAACGTGACCGTGCCAGTGCCATGATGTTGGACTTCCAACCTCCATAACCGTGAGAAGTAAATTTCTGTTGTTTATAAGCTACTTAGTCTGTGATATTTTGTAATAGCAGTTCAAATGGCTAAGGCAGGAAGACTTGTGCTCAGCAGTAAGTAAATGTACTTGAAAATCGTTGCATGGCCCCTGCAGTGACCGCACACTCTGGCTTCTCCTGAGCAGACCTGACTTCTGGGATCTTGTGTCATCACCTAGAACTGCAGGTGTGTGACATCAGGTGAGGCTGTGTGCCATGTCCTCCTGGCCCACTCTCAGCCCCATGCAGGAGACTGGCCAAAATCAGAGGATTCCTGCCTTGTGAGATGGCCATCCGCCCCCTCCCCCTCCCTGAGGATTGCGCAGAAGGGAGCCGAGACTGTAAAAATTCAGAGCAAGGATGGCTGTAGAACCTGAGGAGATAGTGAAGCAGGGATGAAGTGGCTGAGGAAGGGCTGCCCAGGTGGGAGCTTATCCTTCCACAAGCCAGTGCCGAGCCCCTCTGACTCACAGTTGCTGTGTCACAGCTGGAGGACTGAGGTCCCCTTCCAGCTCTAGATTTCCTGCCTGAGTGGGCAGGTAAATGCCTGGGCCTACTGCCCAGCACCTGCAGACTTCATCTTTCCATCTGGTTTGGGGAGCTGAGAGCCCATGGGCTCAGACCTCCTTTCTTGCCTCTTCATTTGGCCACAGTTCACACTCTGCTGAAGTAGGTGGCCACCTCTTTGCGTGGAGGCCGGGGCCCACCACCTGCCCAGCCATTGCCCATCAGGGGCTCCTCCTGGCCCAGCCGCAGGGGTGGCTTGCATTTGTGCCAGCTCGTGAGCAGCCTGTTCACGGCGCCTTGATCTGTGATGCCACGAAGCTTCTCCCTCTCCTCCTCAGCACCATCGGTGGTCGCTGGAGCAGCCGAGCTAGCAGGGGCCCTGGCCAGTGCCTCATGGGCGTGACCCAATTCCAGGTCATGGTTCATGGCCTCGAAGAACTGTTGGATGCAGACCTTGGCAAAGGCCTTGGCGTGTTCTGTGCATGTTTCATCAAAGAGCTTGCGCTCGATGTCAATATAGTGGGACCAGTACTTGCTTTTGAGGAAGGCGGCCTGTGTGAAGCAGGGCCGCACTGAGCGCACCACAAATGCCAGCAGTGTGGTCAGCAGCACAAAGGACCAGCCCAGTGCCTGCAGGGGAGAGAGGAGAGAGTCGGCTGGCATTGCTCTCCAGCCTCCCAAGCCTGTCTAAATCCCCAACGCACTCTCTACGTCAGGGCCTCTAGGGAAAAGAAGACTGACAGGGCAAATGACCTTAACTCTTGGCCTCCATTTCCTTTTCCGTCAAATGGGCATAGGTACACGATCTCACGGAAATGAGATCATGTAAGCAAAATGCCCCACACGTAGACCTGGCACTCAATCCACTGGAGTTAACTGGGCACACCTTGGAATTAGGCTGCCTGGCTTTGGACCCTGTCTTCAGTCCTTAGTGGTTGACCAGGAGCAAGGTGTCTGACTTCTCTGTGTCTCAGTTTCCCCACCTATAAAATGGGGTTGTTGATAGTACATATCTCATAGGGTTTTTGTGGGGACTAAATGTAATAAAAAAAAACAACAACAACACAGTGCCTGGTATGGGGTTAGTGCTCAGTAACTGTTGGCCACTATTATTATGTCAATAGGCCCTCATTAACCTCCCAGGGTCATAGTGACCCTTCCTCCTCTGAGTTTTGCACCCCTCCTCTGGCTCCTGGTATTGTCTGCCTGTCAGTAGCCAGCACTGAATAAGCTTCCTCTGTGTGGGCTCTAGGTTGGGCCCTCAAGGGCCACAGAGACAAATCAGACAGTTGCTCAAACCCTGTGCTGAAGAGCACTAGACGCTTACATGCTAGGTCTCTGCCAATAATTCAATCAGGAGTGGGGCAGGATGCCTTCCTAATCGGGCTTCTGGTTCAGCCCCCAGCTGCCCAGAGAAGTGTTTGGCCAGATCAAGATGCAAGGTAAGTGCCTGTAATCGGAGTTGGGGGCTTGTGGCAGAGCAAACGTGGGCTGGGAGCTGCAGAGCACGTGCTTGGTCTGGGGGGCATCCCCTGTGCTGCTCCAAGGGGAGACATGGACCCTGTGGGGCTGGACATTTTCGTGTTTTAAGTAAAGCCAAAATCTGATTTTTCTGTGAAAATTTCTGGGTTTTAGAGGATGTTGACTAATTCCAAAATTGAATTTTGAATTCACTTGGAAGTGAAACATGTCTGTAGGCCAGGCAGCCTGTCCTCCAGGGGCCCTTTTAGTTTACGATGCAGGTAGAGGGACAGTTGCCCCAGGCCCTGAGGCCTGGGACCGTGGCACAAGTGCCCACGGTGGTTTGGGAAGGAAGCAGAGCTTGTACACTCAGAGTGTGATATTCATGTGATGACGCAGGCCCCAGGGGAGGGCTGGAGATGGGGGCCAGGGATCCGGACTCCAGAGCAGAGGTTCTCTAGCCCTGGCAGGGCAGGCCCGGCCCCCTCCCTGCCCTGACAGCCCTGGTCCGTCTGCTGCAAGGGCATGCTGCTGCTTCCTCCCGATGCTGCAGCGACTGCAGGGGAGGCCTGGGGGCTTAGATGAGGGAGCTCCCGAGGGGCAGAGGACGAGGGAATGGGGCTGGGGGTGGGGAACCAAGCTCACACTCATCAGTGAGCCCTCCACCCCTGCCTTTAGCATGCATCCCAATAGTACATCCCCTTTACCCAAGCCCTCCCTTCCAGACGACCCAAGACCCTTGGATCCCACTCCCTGAGCAGGGAGGCACCTGCTGGAGGCATTTGCCAGGGAAATGTACCCAAATGGCCCAGCCACCCACCTGCCTCACCACTGCCCTGGCCTGGAAGAAGAAAAGGATGCAAATGCACCAGGCTTCCTAGCTGCAGCTCAGGATGGAGAATGTGGGGGCTGGCTGAGCTGTTGGGTCCACTCTAGGGACAGGCCTCCGGACTGAGGTAGCCACAGCACTTTTTCCAGGTGGCTCTGGTCCAGGGAAGACACACGGCTCTGCCTTCAGAAGGCCTGGCCTCAGCTGGGAAAATACAGCCCTGTCCCAAAGAGCTCTGTCTGAGGGGGAGACCCAGCCCAGTCTGGGGACTCCAATCTATTGGGGAAACATGACTCTACCCTGAGAAAGCCCCATTTCCAGAGGTGAGGGATTGGGCC